GATGGGAAACCCATGGGGATTACAATCGAGATGGAAAAAAAAATGTGCAAAATGCTGTAAAAATAAACTTTTGTAATAAATAAAAAAAAAAGAAACCCATGATCCAATGCAAGTTATCCCAAACCCAACTTTCATCCTAACTGACCCCATCTCAATTTACCAACTACCAGTCCCCATCCCCTATTCCTAGCCTTTATGTGCTTCATCCTGCTTTGCATATCAATTCTACGTCAATTCAGCCCAACATCTGATTTCAAATCCTTAATTCAATCTGCTCAACAACACCAGGCTAAATCAAAGGATCCCATCATAAGTCCTTAGCCCCAAACTCACTCAACTCAACCCAGATCAACCTCCAACTCAACTCTTCTTCAACCCATTTTCAGCATGATTCACCCAACCCCTAACTCCAACCTCCAGTTTATCTGATGGTTCAACTCCTCTTTCTACCTCCATTCCACCCCATGACTTATCTCCTGGAGTTCTGATCTCTGATTATTTCACCTCAAACTAAAACTATGTCCTACGTATCTCTTACTCCAGCTCCTTGGCCGAGCCGGCAATGGACTCATCCAGGGCAACCCGGAGAGTGTTTTTGGGTTTGGGATTTTTTTAATGTCTTTAATGGGTACACCATTTTTTCCAGTTTGACTGAGATATAACTGATGTATGAAACTGTATAAGTTGAAGCTGTACTTGTGTTGATCTGATACATCTATATACTATAAAATGATTAACTGCCATTGCATTAGCTAACAGCAACAATCACATCACAATTACCATGTCTTTGTATGTAGTGAAAACATTTAAGATCTACTCTCTAACAAGTCTACTTTCAATTTTCTTCCAGGGGCCTAATTTTATAAGCAGGGCCACCACTTCTAGTGGGTTTTATTATAAGTGACTTCCCCCAACTCCCTTCAAAGCCACAATTAAGACAAACAGCAGCAGGTATCTCAGATGAGACAAGAGCCAGACCCTAAGAGGGATATAGTGAGCACCAGAGGAAAGACACAGACAGGACACAGTTCACTGGTTTATTCTGACTCGAGATGCCCATCATTCCCTAATGGCCCACAGATAGGGTGAGGATCATGCTAGAATCTCTCTCATCATATCCCAGCCTTCCCTAAAGAGAGAGCAGATAAAATATACAACAGAGGGGATTTTCTCTTTGAATACAGACCCAGATATAAATAGGGCAGCACCATTAGGATCCAGATTCATCCCCCTTAATCCCTAAATCCTAAATCCCTAAGATTTGCCATCTAAGTCCCTAAATCACTTGCCATGGCAAGGTGAGTCTGGAGAGCTATGAGGGGCAGTATTCAGAAGTCATTGTGGGGACTTCTCTCAGTCAAGGGAAGTCCCACTTCCCTCTGTAGTCTAACTTCAGTCCCTTCACTGTTACTCCACGTGAAAACAGGAATAAGCGAAGAGGTCCCAGCCTGGGTCAGGAGGCATCCAGTGCTTCACAATGGGGGAGAGTAGCACCAGGGTTCTGACCGCACTGACCGCGGGGTGGGGAGACACACATGGGGAGCATTTGTTGACTCTGAGTTTGAATTTCCTTGCGTGGAGCTCTGGGGGTGAGGATGGAGGTGGGAGGGCATGGAGGGGAGAAAGAGTCAGACTGTTATGCCACCTGTATGCAGTGATGTGGGGGCAAGAGGTGCCAGACCCCACCCCCAGGAATGGAGAAGGAACATCGTTTGTCCATGTTGACCAGACCTCCTGGCTTCACGGTCACAGGAAACTATAAATACAATGGCTCCAAAGCCTCAGCACCAAATGTGCCCTGTTTGGGCACCCTTCTTGTCCCTCCCCACCCCAAGGTGCTCAGCTGCTAAAGCAGACAGGGCCCAGTTCAAACCCGAACTTCTGGTTTGTCTGGCCAAAGTCAGCAGCTGCCACATCCCACAGGGGCAAAAACCCCGCTCGTGAAGAGCTGAACTCCAGGAGCGTCTTCTTCTGTCCCTTGCGGTGCTGGCCCGGAAGACACGAATGGTGAGTTAGTGGGAGGGTGGCAGGTTCCCCCACGCCCCCCTCTGGCCAGACCCTGGATTCCTGCCCTCCCCTTACCCGGCAGCCATCGTAAGGGACATGGATGGTGACCGCTGCTGTCTGGTTAACGGACAGCTCCTCCCCGTTGGCCGCCAGGAAGCGGAGGGCACGGCCATGGTCGCCAGCAGCTTCATCCAGCCAGGCGGCTGAGTTCTGACAGAAGTAGGTGAAGCGCTGGTGGGCCGCGGCACTCAGCAGCTTCAGGAAGGTGAGCTGGACCACGCTCACGGGGGACCCATCAGCATCCACGTAGGAGAACTGGACAGGGCACAGCAGGAGGCAAAGGATGCTCCGTCTGTTCCTGCTCCGCCTGAGAAACCCCACCAGGGTCTCCGGGCATATGTGATCCATGAAACTGGTAAATTTTCTTTTCTTTACTTAAGGATTGCAATTGATTTTAAATGTTATTTAATTATTTAAAAATGTTTAAATTTGTGACTAATAATTGCGTCTCAACCCAATAACCAAAGAACTGAACTATGGAACAACTTGACTATGTGACTGTGTTTTTCCAACTGCAGGTTAATGAAATCAATATTTAGCTCACATATTGCTAATGAAATTTAGCACCCAAAGTGCCGTGGCTGTAAAATGGGTATGACTCTGGAGAACTGGTATAAGAAAATGTCTCAACGCTTTTGATATATTGACTTAAATAAAATGAAATTTAGAATATCAACATATGATTAACATTAACTGCTTTGAAGCTACTGGCTTGGCGATACAGCCTTTTAGGCTTTCTCTTCTTCCCTGTACTATTTACACACTCCCAAACTGATGCTTTCTGGAATCACCTTCCAGATAAATTACTTGTAAGTGAGTCTTTGTCCCAAGGTCTGTTGGGGGGAGGTGAAGGGGCCTAAATCAAGATTGTCCCTCATATTATATGCTATGTTCTTATTTGTTTCCCTGGTTGCTGTCTGCCTCTCCCAGTAGATCAGCTCCGAGAAGCCAAGGGTTGGGTTTTACTACTGCTACTTGCTCAGGACTACGTACATACATGTGTGTTATGCAGATGAATCCCAGTCTGAGTTCAGTGTCTCCACCCCTCAAATTTGCTCTTCTCATTTATACTTTTCAGAATCTCAGCAGACACCAGTCCTCCACAAAGGAACCTGCACCTCATCCCCACCACCTCACTCCCCTCCACCTCACCAATCACCACGTAAACACATTCTGTGGCTCCCTACTGCCCCAGGTCTTTCTGGGCAGCTGGGCTCAACCTTCACCTACCTCAGCCTCTTCTCCTTCTGTGCCCTCCCTCATACTCTCTGGAACAGAGAGAGGAGCCTTTTATTTACATTCTCCAGACCTTTCTTGATTCTGGGCCTTTGCATATGCTATTCCCTCTGCCTAGAACACTTTTCCTTGTCCTCCCTAACTTGCCCACTCAACTTGCTCCAGATTCAGCTGAGCTAGACTTCTGCCATTCCTTTCAGCACTGCTTCTGAATTTCCACTGTGTGCTTTCTCCATCACATGACTGATGCTGCCCCGCCCCCGGACCCATGCAGTCCCCTGTCTGTGGTTACCATGAAGGCAGAGCAAGTCTGTCTTGTTCATTTAACCCCTGAGGGCCCCTTCTCCAACTCCCCATGCTGTTTCCCACCAGTTTGCATCCACTGCCACCTCAACCCCTACTCACCTTCTTCCCTCGACGGAATGTGCTATACCAATTTCCTGGCTTCTCCCTAGACCATGAGGCCAGTTTTACCTGGGGGGTGGGGAAAGGTTAGTGTAGCAGTTGCCCTGGGTTCTACCATGGTTTTGCTGCATTTATCTCCCCATGCTGAACTGTAAACATCCAGAGATAGTTTTCTGGTGATTGCAAATACCCAGAACTCTCAGGCTGTTTCCAGTCATGGGAGTGGACTTAGCAGTGCACAGGACAAACTCAAGGCAGGCCCAGGGCCACTGAGGCAGCCCTGAACTGATGATGAGCAAGAATTGGTAAATAAATGCTTTTATTTACATAAAATAAAAGTGCCCTCTGCCCAAGTGGAATGACTTCCAGGTGTCTGACCCACATAGTCTCCCAGATGTCCTCAGTGGAACTAAGCCAAATGGTGATCATTTTAACAACACACCCCTTACTGGCTGCCTGCCCTGGCCACTCTCCTCTCTTGGTGCCTCCTGGGCTCATCTCCTAAATAAGCAACATACGCCGATGAGCTGTCAGAGGTCAGGCCCTCCAGTGCCAGCAGCTGTTATGGATCAAGCCTACACTTTTGCCCTCACACATGGACACGATATTGCACTTTATAAGAAATATTCACTTATTCAGGTAACCAAAAGACATTTCTCATACATATTTGTCTTCATTTACAGTCCTGACTTATTGTTTCCAAGTGTGGGAATGTCCTAAGCTGTTGAGCTTGACAGAGGTTTCTCATATTGCATTAATGAGGTGACTTTGGGGGAAACACCTACAGGTGAAGGCCTGGAGGACCAACCTTGCCATTAACTGGTTGGAACTGCCAATCCCACCCCTGTATCTCCGGGAAGGGCGGAGGGGCTGGAGGTTGAGTTCACTTGCCAATGCTCAACAGTTGAACTAATGGTACCAATATAGTGAAGCCTCTGTGAAAACCAAGAGGACGGGATTTGGAGAACTTCTAGGAGTTGGTGCTCCTGGAGAACACAGGAAGCTCCACCCTGCCCCCAACCCCACCTTTCTCTTCCATCTGGCTGTTATGTCCTTTATAACTAGTAATTAGTGAGTAAGCATGTTTCCTGAATTCTGTGAGCCCTTCTAGCAAATTCATTGACTCTGAGGAGGGAGGTGTGGGAACCTTTGACCAATAGGCAGTAGGTCAGGTAACCGTCTGGCCTTGCGATTGCTGTACAAATAGAGGGTGGTCTTGGGAGACTGATTCCTCAGCCTGCGCAATCTGATGCTCTCTCAGGTAGAGTCAGAACTGACTTGAATTCTTGAATACCTGCTGGTGTTGGAGAACTGCTGGTTTGTGTGGGGGCACCTCCCCATGCTCACATTGGAGATTGGGCCCAAGAACTTTAAGCAATGGGGAGGGGCAGTTCTGGGCATATCTAAATTCCTGACCATTGATAGGTCTGAGCTCCCATTAAACCAGAGCTCTGACTGGTCAAAAATAATAATACCCAACAGGAAGAATGTCACTGCACACTCTTTACCTGCCAGAGAGATAACAGCATGATGCAGTACAGTGTTAGTCAGTACTTACTGGCATGTAAACTAGTATCTTCATGGTTATTTTATTGAGCCCATTTTACAGAAGAAAAAACTGAGGTGACAGACCCAATTTCAACCCAGGCATTCTGGGGTTGAGACCACGGCTCAGCCAGGCCTCCCACTGCTAAGCCTGGCACTTAGAGAGGAGACTTTTAGGCTTAGCTCTTCCTCATGGAGAGCCCCAGGATTTACTGGTGACCTTCCAGCCCCAGCCTGAAGGGCAGCATGCAAGGGGCTATGAGAAAGCAGGTCAGGGTGTGGTGGGGTAGTGAAGGACTGGGACTCCAGCCAGACTCACAGCCTCTCCGTGCCGCTATTTCCTTCTTTGGGGGATGATGGTGGTACCAGTGGTACAGCACCTTGAGTAACTGAGCTCAGTGCAGCTAAGGGCTTACAGGTGCGGCACAATATGCACCACTGATGTCTGTAGTAGATTCTGACTTCCCCCTGGAAGATGAGCTCCATAAAGGCAAAGAGATTTTTTTTTCTTTCTGATTCTCTGCAGTAGCCCCACTGCTTTGCTGGACTTGGAATACAGTAGGTGCTCAATAAATGCTGAAGGGCAGCTAAAGCCGAGACAAAGTCTGGTGCACGCGCACATAACTGCAAACGTGCGTGCATGGTAAGAGGAGTCAGGAAACACAGTCCTCCCCCCACTAACTCCCTCACCCCACCCTCGATGGCCACCCCAAAAGCACTCACGGTCTCAAACTTCTTGTCTGGGTAGAGACAGGTCTCTCCTCCTGCAGTGAAGTTGCACAAAACTCTGAATGCGTCCCGCGCGCATCCCTGGTTGGGGTCAATCCAGTATTCCCCTGCCGCAGAGTCAAGCAGGGTGGTGAGAGGAAGCAGGACCCAGGGGACCTCTGGCCGCTGGGGCTAGGGACGGTGGGGCCTCACCATCCGGCAGGTGCGGGTGGTTGCGGTGCAACTCGCTACACACGAGGCCTGGGCTCTCCGCCGTGCCGGGAGGGCGCCGTAGCTGCTCCAGCTCCACGCTCAGCGAGGAGAGCGACGCCACCACTTCCTCCAGGCCGCCCTCCGGAGCCGGGACTGAGCGGCGCCGGCGCAGCCCCAGGACTTGCGCAGGAGGACCCTGGTGTGAGGGTGCGCATGAAAAAGAGGGGAGCAGAGGGCAGGAGAGAAAGCGGTGATACAGAACAGCAACAGAGAGCCAGAGAGACCCACAAAGGAAGGAGACAGAAATGGGGAGAGGCAGTCCAGGCGTAAGACAGTATAAGAAAGCCACAGGGTCAAATAAAGAATGAAGGGAGTGCGGGATAAAATAATGGAACAAGTATTTGAAATAGAAAGGGTGGGAGAGTTGAAGAAAGGGAGAGACAGAGTGAGAGGCAGGTTGAGAGACAGAGGCCCCTGGAGGTCCCCACCCAGAATCTCCTTCCCTCCCACCTACATTTACTGAATGTCCGCTATGTGCTCTACCCAGCTGGGAGGGAGGGGGAGGCAGTGGGGATACCCCAACATCTCTGTGAAACTTACCGGAGGGCCAGGGGGCCCTGGGGGCCCAGTGTCTCCACGGGGACCGAGGGATCCCTACAGAGGGAAGTCACTTGGGAGTGAACTCTGTCTATGGAGATTCCCCTCCCCACCACCACACACAAACACACACACACACACACACACACCTGAGATGCAAATTTTAGCACCAAGCATAAAAGGTACATTTTCTCTCCATATTTTAACATCCCTAAAATCACCATCTTAACATCTCTGGAAAGGTGCAGTGAACTTAGCAGAACTGTGTTTTTTTTTATAGAGTTTATAAAATAATAGTACACCGTACAGTTGATGGCATCTTAGATTTGATGAAATACAACAGCAATTATCGAATAAGTATTTGCTGAATGTGTGGTTGAATGAATGAATGCATGCAAAGGCATTTAGGACTCTGGTGGCCTGAGATGTGAGACTCCAGGGAAACTGTACTTACGGGGGACCCCTTTGATCCTTTCTGTCCCACGGGGCCCTGTTGGACAGAAACAAAGAACGCGAGTGCTGGCTGGCCCACCATGATGACCCCATGCCACTAACCCTCATACTCACCGCCACGCCTGGGGGCCCAGGGTGACCAAGAGAGCCAACAGGACCACGGGAACCCTGGAGAAAGGACATCAGTGTCATCCCTGCTAGAGTTCATCCCCACGGGCCAGACACAGCCCCCGATCTTCAAGTCCCCAGAATGTCTCCATTTCCCCCAGATATAACCCCTCTCATTCCAGACTCAGACTCCCTCACACCCCACAGCCACAGTCTCCAAACCAGATCCCTCTCCAGGAGCACATTCTTCCTGCTTGGGGTAGGACACACACTTACCGGTTCTCCCGGGGGGCCAGGAGGGCCCTGCACACCTGGCAGCCCCTGATCCCCTTTCTCACCAGCCTCCCCGGGGGGGCCAATGAGGCCAATTAATCCAATGTGGCCCTGGAGGAGAAAAGCAGCACAGGTAGGGAAGAAGTGCCGGTACTAGTGATGACTCTCCTAGAGCATTAAGGAGAGTTTGGGAGCAAAAGCTACCCCAACCTCCCAGCCCTCTGGGTGGCACAGGAGGTGGCAGAGAGGGAAGTGAATGAGGGAGGAGAAAAATGACAGGTGCTGTCCTCACCTTTTCCCCCTTGAGGCCAGCATCTCCCTTCAGCCCTGGGAGGCCAGATGGCCCCTGGACAGAGAATGAGGTTCAGTGGATGAGTCTCAAACATGACACCCAAGGTCCAGATGGATGACTTGAGGATGGTCAGTTGGGAAATTGCCCAGATTTCAAGTGGGAACAACCAAGGATGTGGCCGTGGGATGGTTTTGGGAGAGGAGTAGAGTGGAATACGATGGGGCTGGAAGATGGCTGGCGTGAGTGGGCACTGGTCAAGACCAGTGTGGGTGTTCAGTGCAGACTGCCAAGATGGTGGCCAGTGTGGGCGGGCATCAGAGCAGACCACCAGGATGAGCAGCCAGAGTAGAAGGGAACATAGATGGTCAGTGATGGGGGCAGCCTGCATCATCAGCACCCTTGGTCACTAGATGGCCATTGGCACTCCAGAGTAGGACCCCAGAGTCAGGACCCAGGGACAGAGAAGTCTCTTACCAAGGGGCCAGGAGGGCCTATCTGGCCAGGAGGTCCCAAGAGGCCTGGCTCACCCTAGGACAAACAGAAATGGGAAGGCTGCACCCTGCCAGAAACCTGACCAGGGCCGGCTTCCCCCAGCTGTGAGAGCAAGAATGAGGTGGGAGCACGCAGAGAGAGCCTGATCCCACCCCAGCCCCCCCTGTTCCTCTGCCACTCACCACAGGGCCAGGGATCCCACGAAGCCCCTCAGGCCCGTCACCCCCTGGAGGTCCTCGAGGCCCCACTGGGCCTCTCCTCCCTGTGGGCCCATCAGGACCTGGATGCCCCTGAAATGGACGGGGCAAAGGAGAAAAAGAGAGTGGGGAGGGCACCTGCCTCCTGAACCCTCAGTCAAGAGCCATCAGGAAAGGGCAGGGAAGTGGGGTACCTGTGGTATGACTAGCCCTAAAGTTGTTGAGTGAGGGGCACTCACCTTGGCACCTTTCTCCCCTTCTCTGCCTTCTCGACCCATGCGACCAGGGGAACCCTGAGGAGAGAGCACTGTGAGGGGAGCTTTGGGGAGTGAGTGGGGGCCATGAAGGTGACAGGGGCTGTGAGGGGGAGTGGGACAAAGTGTAGCCAGGGCAGCCAGGTGCACTGACATCACTTACCCTCTTGCCAGGGGGTCCGGGGGACCCAGGTTCCCCAGAAGCTCCAGGTGGGCCCTGTGGAGATTACAGTCAGCAGGACAGTTCTGCTGCTGCTGGTTGATGTGACAAGTTGCAGGGTGCTTTTGGTCCAAAGACAGCTGTCTCCCAGCCTCACCCCAGCAGCAGCCATCTCCCACCTCCTCCCGCAGTGGAGTTCACATTCATGGTGAAGCCCCAGAAAGGCAAAAGCAGGAGACTCTACAGGGGTTCTGGGATCCTCCTTAGCCCACTTCTCTGGTTCCAATTCAACCCACTAATGCCCCATTCCAGCAGTACATTCCCGAACTCACGGGTCCCCCAACGTCACCAGGGTCTCCTCTCTCTCCTGGAGGACCATCTATCCCCTGCAGAAGGGGGGACAGAATTGAAAGGAGTGATGGGGCACATGAGAACTTGAGGGTGAGGCTTGTAGGAAAGGAAGGTTATTTGCTCCACTGAGCTTAGCCCGGTCGGGATAGGGGGTGGGGTGCGGGGTGGGGGCAGGGTGAGGGTATGGAACATAATTAGGGAAGATGTTGGGCAGAAGGAAGGAGACACCCACCGCAACTCCAGGGTCTCCAGGGGGTCCTAGGTCTCCGGGGAGCCCTACGGGGCCCTGGAACAGAGTGATCACTGCAGCAGGGCAGTGCTGAGCACACTTTCATTGACCTAACCGTGAACTAGGCCCAAGCACAGTTCTGTTTGCTAGGGGTCTGCTGGCAGCCAGAACACACAATCCCTGTGCTGGTGCCGAGCTGAGAGCTGCCGCCTCGCCTCTCTGTCTCCTACTCAGGTCGCCCAGGCAGAAGCAGCACTCAGAAAAGGGCAAGCGAGCGGTGGGGTGATGAAACTCAGGTGGAGGCTGGAGACACTTGGAGACACCTTCCTGGCCCCCCAGCCCCACCCTCTGCCTTGAAGCCAAATCTCAATTGAGATATAGACTGACACCCCAAATCCATGGAGGGGAGGGGGGAGGTAGGTGTTCCACTCCACCTAGAAGCGACTTTCATGCAGACAATAACATAGAACCTCTGTATTTTTATGTGTATTCATGACAGCATTCGACCACTTGTTCATGCATCCATTCATGTTCTGGGTTGCTCTTGGGATCACACTTTTGCAGAGGGGTGACTAGCTAAAACTCAGGGAGCAGGTTCAAGTGCACCCCAGTGCTCCCTCCCTCATCTCTGCCTCTACCTCCTCCATGACTCACCATGTTCCCTTTTGCTCCATCCTCTCCAGGAGGGCCTTTCTTTCCTGGGGATCCAGCTGCCCCAGATGGACCCATGTCCCCCTTTTCACCAAGTTCTCCTCTGGGCCCCTTTGCAGAAACAGAAATCAGAGGAGCCTGGGCTCTGTCAGGTCAAGGGTCCACATACTTGTATTCAGGCATCGGGGTTCCTGGGACTTTCCAGGGGTCAGGAGTCAAAGCAGTCTAGAGGGGTCAGAGGTCAGAAGGATCTAGGACTCATAGGAGTCAGGATCACAATGGCCCAAGTTGCTCACGGATCACCACCAAGGCTGGTCCAGCCCACGGGCCACCCTGGAGTGAGTTAGAAGAGGCCCCCGGTGGACAGATGGTCCCCAAACCAGGCTCCTGACTCAGATGCCAGCCTCTCCCCACCCTCCACCTGCACCCCATGCAGCACACAGTCCTCTCCAACAGCTTCCGGGGTGCTGGCATAGAGAAAACCAGAGCGCCCATGGGTCTTGGGTTTGTGGGTGACCTAAGGCTGCTCAGAACTCAATATGGCCTCAGATACCCAGCATTCAGGGGTTCCCTGAGATAGGTGCAGGGGCACAGGGTGCTGTTACTCACAGGGATGCCTGGGGGTCCTGGGGGTCCTGGGTCTCCAGAGTGCCCTGGCTCACCCTGAAGGAGGCAACATGAGGGTAGGGAGGTCCCAACTGTAAAGGGAGGGGCTCCCCAGAACAGCTACCCTCCATCAGGACCGGTTTTACGGGCACACACCCCCGCCTCTATCTCTCACCTTCTCTCCTACAGCGCCTGGCTGACCAACTCCTCCAGGCAGGCCTGGGGGGCCCTGAGACACAGCAAGGGGCAGGGGTGAGACTGGGCAGTGACAACAGCCCCTCCTTGGGAAATGGACCTCTCACCTCAAGGCATCCTGCCACCCACCCTGAGTCCTCACCTCTGATCCACTGGGGCCCTGGGGACCCCGAGGGCCTGGCGCTCCATGGGGACCCTGAGGGACAGCAGAATAGCACCCAGTGACCCCATGCCTCCCCAAAAGGCTTCAGAACCATGACCACCACCCTTGAGGCTGCTGGCTACTGTTGTTTCTTAAAATGACAATGTGCGCTCCTGCCTAGTGGTGCAGCGGGTTAAAGCACTGCACTGAGAAGCTAAAGCCATTTCCACATGAGTTAGATCCCCGCCTGCCCCGGAGGTGACCACATGGCGTGGCAGACCTCTCCTGACCTGCCCGCTGCTCCCCTCAGCAGTGTACTTCATCGATCTGCCTGTTCTGCTCCCCACTCTGTCTCTGGTGAAGCCTCTCACTGCCCCCGAGCCTCTGGCCTGTACCCCAGTTCCGTATGTACAAATAAATAAATCTTTTAAAAAAAATGACAATGTGCCCTGTGATACCCCCAAATGAATCCAGTAGCTATCCCCACCCTTAATACCCCCCCACCTTCCCCCCATTGACCATACCATGGACCCTACGTCTCCAACCTCCCCCTTCTCTCCAGCAGGGCCTGGTAGCCCCTGTGGAACAAAGAAACACGATTGTAGCACAGGGTAGGAGAATCTAGAGACCACACCCCCAAATTCAGACACTCACTTGCAGGCCAGGAGGACCAATCGTCCCCACAAAGCCTCTCACTCCATCATCTCCTTTCTGCCCAAAGAGGCCTGGGGGTCCCCGTCGTCCCTGTGCCCCATCTGCTCCCTAGGGGAAGCACAGAAATGGGCAGTTAGGGCCCAGGTCAAGAGTCCGAGGGAGGCTGGGAGTAAGGGTTGGAGCCAGGATGGGAACTGAGCTGGGAGAGGGTCGAGGTTGAATTTGGTAGGGGGTTGGGAATGAAGGCAAGGGCAGAGTCCAAGATTTGGGGTGACAGATATAAACCCACAAGTTTATGGACAGCTAATTTTTGACAAAGGAGCAAAGAAGATACAATGGAACAATGAAAGTTTGTTCAGCAAATGGTGCTGGGAAAACTGGGAAGCTACATGCAAAAAAATGAAACTAGATCATTGCCTCACTCCTGTCACAAAAATCAACTCGAAGTGGATTAAAGACCTAGACATAAGAACGGAAACCATAAAAT